AATCTCAGAGTGGGGGGGGAGGGGAGGAAGGGGGGAATGGATGGAGCAGAGCCAAGCTGAGCCAAAGAGCCAGGGACAAAATCTTCTCCTGTTTCATTGCGGTGGGCAACTTGCAGGCTCTGGATTGTGGACTCGCCTCGGACTCCAGTACTTGATTTTGGCAATAGGCTTTGCCATTTTTGCCCCTGCCTTCTTCCAGCAGGGACTTCTGTCTTCTCCAGCTCTCCTAAAATCCTGGGATTTCCTAGTGGTGTCCCTTCCGCTTGTTAACCAGATCTGGCACTGCTTAGCTCTGGGCTCAGCCAAGTCAGCTAAATGCTGCCACCTACTACAGCGTCTGGCATAAGACAAGCTGGTAAGGCCTCTCCCCACCTCTCCCTGCAATCTAGGTAGGAGAATTACAAAACACAAGCAGAGGAACTCATCTCCGGTTGCCTTTTCAAAGACAGCCCCCAGCCCCATCTAGCCCAAAATACCCTAATGGGCCCTGAAGGCTTTTGCTACAAGCTGGAAGTGGTGGAGGTCCAGGAAAGGCACAGGACAGGGCACCAAAACTATCCATGCCCATAGGTTCCCCCCCCCTTTATTGTTGTTAGGCCATTTAGTGTACAATTTTTATTTATCCCACGCAATAGAGATGGAAAGAAATTGAATTGCAACTGATGCTTCTTTCCAGCAATGGAAGCCCAACTGTCCCTCGCCACTCCTTTCCATGCCCCCCCCTTTATCTGGCCTCATCCACACTGAGCTCAGCTCGGCTTCCCCAAATATCCTACAGGAATTTAATCTCCGAAGTCTTTTGCGGGCGGAGCTCACAGCATCTCTTCTAAGCAGCCCCTTCCCGAAATCTTGTTTTAGTTTGCATTTTTTGGTGGCAATGAAGCTCCATTAAGTGTATTAAATCATCCCAGCATCAGGGCCAACTTCAATCTCGAGCTGCTCCAGCCTTTTAATAATAAACTGGCATTAAGGACTATGCAAATACCTGCAGAGCATCCTTTGGAATACATTTTAACAGAGTGTTGTCGCCTCCTAGACCTCTGGGGTATAAATAAAGGCTACAGGAAATAAAGATGATTAATCGAATGGCTGGTTTTTCTTCGGAAGCCCAAGCTCAGACGTTGGCATTAGCCCCAAGCAGGAAGAACCGACGAGGAACGAAGGCTTGTTCGGGAATCAGCCACATGAATCAGCTCTGACTCCCGACGGCCTTTTTGGGCAGCCGAGTTAGCCAGTCACAGCCAAAGAATATAGGAAGGCAGGCCGTGCCGTGCTGGTTTGGGCCCCAGTTCCTCTAGCCCAGCAGTTGGTCTCCCAGTGGCCACAGCTGCACGAGGAGGAAGCCCACCAGTCTCCCAGCAGATGGTCCCGTGAGGCTGCTCCACTGCTGTAGAGTCCTGGACCTTCATCCTCAATAGAAGACAGGCTCTTCTGGAACACAATGGAACATCACCGATCTTCCCTTTGAAGGTCATCCAGACCTTCCAGGAGTCCAACTAATCCTATACCTTGGATCCCAATTCCTGGAAATGCAGATGCTCCCGCCCGCAAAGAATGTGGTCCTTCTTCAAATGCTTTAGGAATTCTTAGATGCTTTAGGACTGGATCAGAGGAGAAAGAAGAACAACCGAGGAGGAGGACCGGACGGGCTATTAGCAAAGAGAAAAGATGAGAGAGAAGCCCAGGGTGATCTAACAAGGGTTGGAGCGGTCAAGGCAAACTCATCATAAGGGGGTTCAGCGGTGGAAGAAGGCACCTTGGGGGCCCTTCCAAGACCTGTAACCTGAAATAAAACATGGTACAATCTGTTCAGGATGAAAAATTGTCTTGCACAAAAACATCTCTCGGAAGCTGGATGAGAAGCTAGGCAGGGTTAGAGGAAAACACCAGCCGCCATTTCCACGAATCGCTATGCAGCTTATTTGGACTCAGCAAAGTGATGGCTGGAGATTCGTGGGTTGGACTCAGCCCAGCTCCTGTGGGTCTCGCGTGGATTTATCGTTCTGCTGTGTCCCATTTTCTGTCCATCTTTTGAGAGAGAATTTGAAAGCCCTGCCTACGTTACCGAATGCAACTTTCTCTCATAAATCTAGTTTTAACTCCTAAACTTGGTGGCTGTTAAATGCCACTTCTTTCTCTTTCTGAAATACCGGCTGGCCAACTAGGGAATCGGTTCCCCTTTTTTGCTGCATTAAGTGTTTGAAATGACCCGTCACTTTCTTGTGGCTGCAAAGTTCCCAGCCGATGCCCTCTGGAGGATGCCTGCTGCCCCTGCTCTGGAGCTCGGCAGCCTTGTCTTCCCAGCAAAATTCACAGTCCAAATTATGGGGAGAGCGACAACCCCCCCAAAAAAACCATTTTCTGCTTTTCCTGCGAGGGGGGGGAGTGGTGTGGTTGGTAGAAGGCGTTTTTTCATGAGCCGACTCCTTGCTTCCACAAAGCAGAAAATTCGACTGACATTTAAAAGAAACGAGTGCTTGTTCCCAGATCCTTTCTCCTCTTCTACCAGCGTTGTTTCCCACACACACCCCCACCCCCCCAGACTTGTGTTCAAATTAGATCCCAACCCTCTCTGCCTTGATGACTTTGTGCAACATTTCTGGCTCTTGTCGCAGAGGGAATGCAGAATTCCCTCTTGGCATCCGGCTGTTTTTGGCTCCCGACTGACAGGACCGCGAATCGGAGGAGGGGGTGGGCAGATGGTGGGCACCAGAGTCAACAGCAGGCCGGGAAACCAAGTTGCACAAAGCTCAGGAGCATCAAGCAAAGGGTTCAGGGGGGATTTTTCAGGAGAACAAAACTCTGGTAAGCCCAATTTGCGAAGTCAATAAAACCTTGGCCCAGGAACGCTCGAATGTACCGAATCAGACCAAACCCAAGGGAGGCTCAGAAATCCTCCCTGCCAGGTTCCTGCAGAGTCCCAAGAGATCGGGTGTCGACAGCTGGACCAGCAGCTTCCTGCAGCTGCACTCAGTCCCCCCCCCGATGAAACAGCTGCCCCTGGAAGGGCTTAAATATATAAGGAGTGCAGAAGCCCCTTCCCCAACACAGGATCCTCCCAGAGCAGCTGAGTATGCCAGGAATGAATGGAGGAGAAAAAGAAGGCAGAGCAACTTTGAAAGAGAAAGGAAGACTACCACAAGCAGGCACTGGGTCTAAGCCAGGGGTGTCCAGCCTTGGCAACTTGGTCTTAAAGTTGCCAGGGTTGGACCTTCCTGGTCTAAACATCTGCAAAGATGGCAGGACAAATGACTGTCATTAATTCCACAGGTTAGAAATGATTCCTAATGTTGACAAGCTACAATTAGCAGCATCCTTCACCAATGGCCAGGCTGGTCAGAGCTGCTGAGGATCGTATTTCGCCTCTAGAGGACCAGCGATCTCCTGGCTTTGGCCATCATCGTTCTAGACAGCAAGTGCAAAATTGCACACCCGACTCTGCTTTTGAACTGGATGGCCAGGCTCAGCACCATCACCACCACCCAAGAGCTGACTCACAGCAGTTAAATCTGCCAGGCTAGACCCCTCTGGATCAGAAGGCCGGCCGACACAGTTCTGCATTGCACAAAGCAAAACCTGAATAAAGCCAGCCTTAAAAAAAAAAAAAGCTTCCGTGTTTAAGAGAAGGAAGGCTGGGTCTGAAAGGAACTAGCAAGGGTGGATAACGGTAATGTTTATTTATGTACTGATTAAATGGGTTTGTCGCCCATCACACCATGAGGTGTGAGTAGAGCTCTCGACAGGGTGTTCTGGGTGATCCTGGGGCACCAGTCCTCTGAAAGAGCCCCCCCCTTTCCCCACACAGCCCTGCAATACAGGCCAGCCACAGACGGCCAGCAAAGCCCCCCCGTGGGCGGTGCCTGTCCCACGCAGAGACTGGATCCCCCACAGGCTCTGCTCGGGTGTGCCAGGAGTTTGGGGAAAAGTAGGTCGAGCCTCCCCTTCGGAAGCTCCTGCAGAGCCAGAGCCCCGCCGGTTGTGCTTCCCACACAGCACACAACATACACATAAGTGTTACCTGGCAACGGGAGGCGAGAGTGCCAGAAGAAGAGAAAGGAGTCCTTTCTTTCAAGAACAAACTCCCAACTAATTGCAGTTAAAGATTTTATTGAACAAAAGAAACAGGGTAGCCTGAATTCTCTGAGCAAAAGCAGCTCTGTCCAAGCTGTGTTTGTGCTAAATAACCGTCTGAACTGAGATTTTATACGGAGGGCTCAGAGGCAGAGGGACCCGGGGGGGCGGGCTGGGGGGGGCAAGACGGACAGATGCATTTTCATCCGGGGGGGGGGGGAACTGCTTGGTCAAAAGTTGAGCAGCTTCGCCAGTGAGAGTTCTAGCCCTTGTCTCTTTTGAAATCCAGTGCAGAGATCTAACTGGGTCCCCGGATCACTGAAGGAGAGGGAGAGGGGGAGGGAAGGCAGAGAGAAAAAGAACAAAAACCCTCAGTTAATGCTTCATTTTTTTAATGTGGGGGGGGCAGGGGAGGGTAAGCCCCCCCCGGGATGTACAGACCCAAGGTCTCCGCAGGTGCCCTCCTTCACTGCTTCCAAACTCCTGCAAGGCCTTTTCGTGCTGAGCCACGGTCCAGAAGTCTAAAACGCTCCATTCAGAAGGGGGGCAGCCGGGGCCCCTCTCCCCACCCATGACCCTCCAGGCTTAGCCAAGAGGCCCTGCATCTGCCATTCGCCCCATCTTCTTCTTCCCCTCTCCTGCAAGTTATGCTGCCCCAAGAGTGATGCGCAAGGTGCCTGAAGCGTTTTGAAAACCGAAGAGTTTTTTCCTCATTCATTAAGCATTTGGCTCCCAGAGACACAGAGTTCAGCTCTTTCTGGGCCTACCGCGAGAAACACCTTGGATCAAACAGAAGGGGGAGCTTCATGGCTCGCCTTGGAGCCCCCCAACCCACCCCACCCATTATTTGCCAACAGCTTAGGGTGAGCCCCACAGAAACTGCCAAAGACGAGGAGAGGACCCATGGCGCAGTGGGAGCAGCGGGAGAGGAAGGGCCCAGAGAGCCCCCGGACCGCTCTCAAGGCGCCGAAAGAGGCGACTCCCGCGAAGGTGAAGCTAGATTGTCCTCGGGGGGGAAGACTGTCAGTGTGCAGGCCCGGATGCCCCCCAGGGACTCCGGGAGGTCAAAGACCTTGTGCCACTCGTCCTTCTCCGGGTCGTATTTCTGAACGATTTCCACCATGCAGCGGTTGTTCCACGAATAGCCTCCGACCACATAGATCTTGTTCTCAAAAACGGCCACCCCAACGTCACTCTGGCCCCGGAGCATGGCTGCAATCGGAGTCCACTGGTCCAGCGTCGGGGAGTAATATTCGCAGCTGAGCACGTCGTCGTAGTCACTGGTGCCCCGGAAGTGGTTGCCCCCGATGACGTAGAGCTTGTCGCCCACCGTGCACATGCAGTGGAGGCCCCGCACGGTGGTCATGGGGGCCTTCTGCGTCCATTTGTCCGTGTCGGGGTCGAAGCACATGAGCTCCTTCTGGAAAGTGTCGTGGGTGATGCCACCTGGGGGGAGGGGAAAGCCAGACACTCCGTGAACAGTGAAGGGGGAGGCCCCGGGAACAGGAGCCCAAAGGCCGACAAGAGCCTTTCTTAGTAGCTGAGTTGATTTATTTATTAAGTGTACACGTAGTTCTCGACTTACAACAATTGAACCCAACACTTCTGTTGTTAAATGAGACATTTGTTAAGTGACTTTGCCCCATTTTACAACCTTTCTTGCCACAGTTGGGGCAAGTTGTGGCTTCTCCAAATAGGGACATTTATAAGATTAGCCCCCGAGCTGGACGACCCACAAGCTCCCTTCCAACTCTGTTATTCTAAGCCTAAATCTAATCAGGAATGTGCATCCTAAACAAACAACTGGACTTCCCTACTAACGGACCCCTTTTTAAAGGTGCTTATCCCAGAAGGCAGCCTGCTGGCTGAAATAACTAAGTTCGAGATCTAACGGCTGCCCCGTCTGAACCGCCTGGGGAGGAACCGAGAGGAGTGAGAGAGAATTCCGGCCTATTTGAGGATGGGAGAACTCCTGGCCCTGGGCGTTTGCAGGGGCGGTTTGGGAGGCGTTGGCAGACTGGCTCACCTGAAATGTACATCAGCCCCCCGTACACCGTCCCCGCGTGTCCGTAATGGGGCTCGTTCATCTTCGCCACGTAGCTCCACTCGTTCATTCTGGGATTGTAACACTCCACCGTAGCTGTTCAAAAAAACCAGCAAGAAGCAATGTGAGACAACTCATTGTACAGGCGGTCCTCGACTTACAACAGTTCATTTAGTGACCGTTCAAAGTTACAATGGCACCGAAAAAAGGGATTTCGGACCATTTTTCACAGTTACGACCTTTGCAGCATCGCCAGGGTCATGTGATCAAAATTGAGATGCCTGGCAACTGGTTCGTACTTACGACCACTGCCGTGTCCCGAGGTCAGGCGATCCCCTTTAGCGACCTTCTGGCAAGCAAAGTCAGTGGGGAGGCCAGGTTTACTTAACAAGTGGGTGACTAACTTGTCATCTGCAGTGATTCACTTAACAACTGTGAAAGCTCCCTCACCAGCCATCGCTTCAGAAAGGGCAGTGAACGTGATTCTCCGCTGTCACGGATTTATTTCCTCAACCTAATGAACAAAACTGTTTTGCAGATGATTTGGCCATCCGCATCGGAAACAGACTCTCTCTCTCTCTCTGCTGGTTTCATGTTTCTGACCAGGTGCCCGTTCTATTTTCAGCCTGCTGAGGCGAAGAGAGACCCGGAGCCTCTCTTTAAAGAAAGCCCCTGTGTGCGGACTGGCCATAGGATCAGGGCACCTGTGGGGTGGCTGTAGAGGTCAAAAAAGTCATCACGGCAGCTGTGACCGAGTGGTCAAACCTCCACCCCTTTTTAAACGTAAGCTTTTTGTTTGTTTTATTTTGTTTTTTACACACACACACATCTCTGCAAATGATCTTCCTTGCTTGTTTTCTGAGAAACACCCATTCGATAGCCAGCAAGAATTAAAGCTTTCCAAGAACAGGCAGCGGTATTAACCTTTGCACACCCCACAGATGAAGCAAGGATTTTCAGGTGCCGAGCAGAAAAACACCAAGTCTCTAGCACACAAAACATTAACTGGCATTAAAATAAATCCTATGTGTAAAAAAAAAAGGACTTTAAAAGGATTCCAAATGAGCCCTTAGCCTGCAGCTGTTCTAACGCAAAGCTTTTCTGGGAGAGGAAGGAGGAATTCAAGAATCCCTTCCATTTGCTGCTCGGAGTGACCTGGCCACCAGAGGTGGAGCAGGTCACGATCTGAATGTATAAGCAGGCTCTCTACTCCTTGAAGCAGAGGCAGCTTCTCCATCCCACAGGTATTCCCCAAACTACTCAGGGCAGCCATGATGGTTGGAAACCCTCCTTTGCCCCCCCCTTCGATCCGTTCCCTCCCCAGCACAGCACCCCACCAGAACCAGAGCTGGCCCGAGGCCTCTGCTGCAGTCAGACGCCCGTGACTTCACACCTTCCAAGCGTCTAAAAATAAACATATGAACACACAACACCAAGCTTATGGCATGGGGAAAGACAGGACTCAAAGATCTCCATCGAGCTTGGAAACAGAAAAGAGCCTCCACTGTAAATGTTCTGACTGGGACTGAGGAGACAAAGGAAGGCCTCAGTTTCCCCATTCAGGCTCCGATTGATACAGGTCATACTCCAAGGCTACCAAAAGCCACCTCTGACTGACATCCTATCCAAAACTCTAACTGAGAGAGGTCCACATAATCAGGACATCAAACTGGGTGGGTCTGGGGATGTAAGGCTCTCTGTTTCTGACCATCCTTCTCAGCAGAGGCGAAACTGGCCAAAAACTGGATGGATTTCTCCATGGCCGGGAACAAAGTTCTTTTTACTGCTCCAGACTAAGACTTTGGTGAGAGCATCAGACCTGACACCAGCCAGAGCTCAGAGACCACAGGAAAGCTCAAAGGAGGAGTGCAAGATTGGAAGATGTGGAGAGACTCGGCCCGTAGAAGCACCAAGAGTCGGACATGACTGAATGGATGACATCACCACCATCATCACCAAGACTTCTGACCCATTCTGAAATCTCCCCCTTTGCCCCTTAGTTGACCACTCCCTCACTTTATTGCCGTCAGCTCCCTGGTAAGCCAAGAGATCCCTACTTCATTTAGGAACGATCACATTATTTAGGGCATAAGCATTAGAGAAGATCTCGGCCATCATCAACTGCAATCCTTAGCACAACAAACTCTAGAAAGAATGCCTCTATATTCCACAGGTCAGGCAGCTGTTTTAGAGTTACAAGGCTTGTTACTATAAGTACTTTTTATACCATTTTTTATGGGGCTGTGATTTTTCCTTGTTAAAACAAGATCCACTGGGCAACAGCAGATATTTTTTTGGGACAATAGCAAACTTCAGCATTTCATTTCTGCTTCTTCTCTTCCTACGCTGAGTTTTTAGTAGCCTTAATCATTCTTGCCTTTGGGGATTATTTCCAAGCATCAACTTTTGTAGAATTGTCTGTTGGATTTTGAGCTGCCACATCCATGTTTCTTATTATTTCAATTTCAAGCAAATAATACTTGCATGTCAGCTGTGGTAAACGTCGTGCTTGCCCACAGCCGCCGAAAATGCTGCTCACCAAATGCTCAGTGTGGCAGTCTGGCAGGGCCAGAGAGCCACGTGAGTGTTTGTTTGGTATGTTTTTGCACCAAGAGCGCTACATCCTTTTTCCTGCAATCTAAACATTATTAATTACGAATAAACATGATTTATCTTTCTTTCCTGCTGGCCTCTCACAATGAAGAGAATAAGGAAAAGTTACAAGGATTCTTCTCCTTTTTGCTGCAAAGGAAAAAAAGCCTCGAAAGCCGCAAAGGGAAAAAATGACTCGCAATGCAGCTAATGAAAAGGGAGAGGGAAGACTCAGAATCAACAGGACCGCCAGCCAGGCACGGACTTTCACACAAATGGATCAAGCTCATTATGGAAATCAATGCAACTGTTTAACAGCCCACAGATGGTTCAAGGTAACCCTGAAGACGACAAGTACGAAGAAGCGACAGATCATATCAAGTGGGGAGAAATTAGAGGAGGATTGTCAGGTAGCAACGGAGGTGCTCACCTACAGAGTTTCAACGCAAATATGGCTGGCTGCATTCGGTATTTATTATAGAGGAAGGTGTTAAATTATCAGAAGGAGGACTCTTAAAAGCTGCCCTGAAGATGGTCCTATCCCTCCGCGAGCTGAGTGGAAAATGCACAGGGGATGTTTTTCGCACTCGTGTTGTTCACTGTCTGGCTCACAAGGGGGGCCAGGAGGTGAGCCCGTGTGCTCAGACCAGACTAAGAGAGACGGCCACCAGCCCTTAATTCTTCAGACGTCAGACAAAAGAAGTTTAAAATAAATTCAGATCAGCGCTACCTGCATAAAATCAATACAGAATTCATTTGTTCAGAAGAAAACAGCGCCATTCATTAGTCCTCTTGACATGTGGGAAGATAGACAATTAAACTCTGCATTACCATAATAATGTACAGCGGCACCATTATTATTTCAAAGCACTCCTTTTAAAAATATGATACAGGTTAGGATACAATGCCATTGTTACTAAATCCCCGCAGAGCAAGGGATAGCCCGACTAAGCTTCGCTCGTTTTCTGAAGGGGTCCAGTGCCTTCGTAGATTGGGGAAACGTTCTGGAATAATATATCTTGATGCCAGAAAACCGTTCGACAATGAATCAAGACGTTCTGATTAGCCGGCTATTAAGCTTCCCTGCTGCGTGAGATGGAACTTACCTAATTCCCCAGCTGCATTTCGACCACCAACTGCATACAAATGTCCTTTGAGGGCACTTAGGTGGAAGAAGGTCCGCTTTTCATTTAAAGAAGCCACTTGCATCCACTTATTGTAGCGAGGATCAAACCTGAAAACCGTGTCGACAGCCGTCTTCCCTTTTGTGTCATAATTGCTCTGCCCACCAACCACATAGAGGAAGTTCCCAATCACAGCGATGCCGTGCTGGTACCGGGGGGCGTCCATGGGGGCCAGGGACCTCCACTCGTGTGCTTTCTCATCGTACATCCTCAGTTCCTTACTCACGACCAGCTGCTGCCGGAGGACCCCTCCCAAGGTCACCAGGTGGGTGCTGTCCGAACGGATGGCCGTCCTCTCCGACTGCATCACCGGCTGCATGTAGGGCATCATTTGATAGTTACTGGCTTCCAAGAGCAAATTGACACAAGTATTATCAGTCCTCATGAAATCCACGGTCTGGACATAGTTGATTAGATCCTGGGGCGTCATCAGAGGGAAACGGATGTTTTTCATGAGCTTCGCGGCGCATTCCATGCGTGGCTCCTCGTACCGCAGCCACCGGCAGGCGGCTTTGAAGAGTTCCAGCTCGGTACAGTGCTTAAGGCTATTACTTGAGAGGACAAAGGCAAGGCGCTCAAAAGGGAGCTTCACAAACTCCCCCGTACTTAGCAGGGCTGGGAAGTTTTTGAGGATGAAATTGTTCACGTATTTATCCACTTCGGTGAGGTTGTATGTGTTGGCAATCCGCCCCACCTCAACGCAGTTCTCCAAGGACACCTGTGAAGGTAAGAGAGGACATATTGGCAAGGAGGAGCTTAACTGCAGGGTCATTTAACACTCCCACCCCCAACAAGTCTTTAGTCCAATGAACGCAAGAGCAAAACGCAACGAACTAGGGGTTACATGATAGCAGTGTTCCAATATCTAAAGGGATGCCACAAAGAAGAGGGAGTCAACCTATTCTCTCTGAAGGCAGGAGAAGCAGTAACGGATGGAAAGTATCCAAGAAGAGAAGCAATCTAGAACTAAGCAGGAATTTTCTGACAGTGAGAACAATTTATCGGTGGAACAGAAGTAGCCTTCAGAAGTTATTGATGCTCCACCAGTGGAGGTTTTTAAGAAGAGATTGGACAGCCATTTGTCTGAAATGGTATAGGGTTTCTTGCCTGAGGAGGGGGTTGGACTAGAAGACCTCCAAGGTCCCTTTCCAACTCTGTTATTCTGTATTCTATTCTGTAAATTTTTAGGACAGGCTTCTAAGTGAGGCTTCCTTGGAGAGGAAACAATACGCCAGCTGGTGCACTTCAGGTGCCCTTGTTTTCGGCTTCCCTCTTCTTCTCTTCTCCTAAGGCAGAGCCCTGAAGCTGGGCTTGATTTTCAGTCCTTCCACTGCCCTGTAGCTTTTGTGGCCTTGCATAGATCAGAAAGGACTAATCACCACTGGCTCATCCCTTCTCTGCTACTAGACTTCCCCTTCCTCAGCCAGCGTTCTCAAGCTCTTGGGACCGCAGCTCCAGGGAGCCAGGAGAAGCTCAAGTGATGGTCCCGGAGCAGGTCAGGGACCTTCACCTAATCCCTGCCTGATAATGAAAAAGGAATCCTTCTCAAAACCTTGCAATTTGTCTCAGTGTCCTCTGAGTGATTCAACCCCAGTCTCAGAAGCCTCCCAAGTGATTTATCTCAAAACAATGAATTTGTTTCCTTACGCTCCGTTTTGTTGGATAGACCAACTGAACGGAGCCCTCCAGAGCATGCAACAACATGGAGAATTATTTTAGGCTGTGCTGCTGCGTTAGAGCACAACATCAGCCTTCTTGTTCCAATCGTGGCACTCGGAAAAGAAACAGCGAAGCAGACAAAATGTCACCGAATGTTTGGCCCTGCTAGAGGGGTAATCCAAGGCAGGTCCAGGGCATCTATTTGGGGCGTCTGGTTGAAACATTGACTATCTTATAAACAAGCTGGCCACATGGCTTTAGGATCTGATACGCTGTCAAACTGGGACATATCTTGCTCATTATGACACGTGGGAGTGGCTATAAAGCCTGTGGAGACAGGGAACACCGTAAAGGAAGAGGGGGAAGAAGAAGAGGACAACAGGGATGGGGATGACCAGCCACGAGTGCTACACGCAGCACCACCTCAGAGGGAGGAGGCAGGAGGGCCTTGGCTGGAGAGAAAGACAGGAAGATGGTTGAGGAAGATGAATTGAGCCTACTTTTTCTATAGGACAGTCTTCTGAATCACTGCTCAGTTACAGCTGTAGCACTACTCCATCTCTGTGTCACAGAATTTATGGGATTATTTAATTATCAGATTACATTGAATAACAAGGTATAATCTTGATAGGCAGATTGTGGTCTTCCAAAAGCAACCAAAAACATTAACGGTATTTTTTATTTTAAAAAAATAATACCAAGAAACACACTTTCACTGCAGAAAAGTCAATAAAATCCTTTGCAAAAAAGTAACTGCATTTATAACCATTGCCATGTCCCAAGGTCATGTGATCATCTTTGGCAACCTTTGGACAAGCAAAGTCAATGGGGAAGCCTGAGTCACTTAACAATTGTGTTACTAACTTATCAACTGCAGTGAAGAAAAGTCGTAAAACTGAGCAAAACTCACTTAAAAAATGTCTCACTTAACAATGGAAATTTTGGGCTACCCTGCAGAGCCACACATTTGGGATGGATTAGACCAAGATAGCAGACTCTTTTAAGATTCTCACTCTTAATACTGAAATTGCAGGAGGAAAATAAAAGATGAGAAAAATCTAAATAGGGTTTCCTTGAAAGGAGGTTGAAACTTCTCAGTGGCAAAATTTAGAAAAGCGGTGAAGGGGCGGCAGGAAGCGTCAGATGCAGCTAAAATTGAAAAGCAAGAGGTGGAAGCAACTGAAGATTACATCAACTGCAAATACCACAGCCGAAGACAGGAAACTAAAACAGCAGCAGCAGAAATGAGAAAGGAGATGATTTACAAGGCACCAGCAGTTAATAGGTTTGCCAGCAGGACCAACAGACTGCTGATCCTGCAAGCCCTGTTGCTAAATCCAGGGACAAAAGATACGGATCTTCCTCTGCTTTAGTCTTCACCGGACGCCCACCTCCAGATGCCCATAATTTAGACATCCTAGATTACTTTGGGGATCTGAATTTTCTTCTCAACCTTGGCAGCTTTAAGATGTGTGGACTTCAACTCCCAGACTCCTCCAGTCAGCGTGCTAGATGTTTTAAAGCTGTTAAGGTTGAGAAAGACAACTCTGTATAGCCACAACTAGTATTTCACCAGAACTTAACAGAGATTCTAGGATCGCATATCTGAGAAAGGAAATGGACGTGTTTATTAGAAGAGGTGTGGGGAACGTCTTCCCCTCTAAGTTAATGGCTTGGTCCCATCTTCCCCAGCTCTTGGCCACGGTAGCTAAAACCATTGGATCTTGAAAATCCAACACTCTCCTTTTCCCCTCTCCCGTTGGTATAAATGATTGGTATTTTCATTATTTGCAACTTGGATGGAACCATGTTTTAAAACCCACCAGTTTCTGAAAAGCTGCACATTAGATGTCCCGTTGTTTTTTTAAAAAACCTATTTACGTGCAGGTTGCCAAATACCTCAGCCATTTCTGTCTTTTCAATCACCACTTTAATCCTTGAGCATCCATCAAAATACACACCCCTATTTCCATCTTAAAGTCACCCAAACCACGCTGCAAATGAGGCCTGCACAGCACCTTCCCCAGAAGAACCCAGCTGTTATACACGAAACTGAACATAGCTCTCCTTTGCAGTCAAAAGCAATTTGCAATGTGCACCTTCTGCTCTCTCACAGCTGAGTACCTCCCACTTGGCAGAGCAGATTTATTTATTTTAATAAATTGTTTTGCCTCCGGGAGTCCCACTTGCAGAACTATTCCAAAACAGTTTATAGACTGCATTCACCATTTTTCCTATTCAACACATCGACATAAAGGTTAATTTAGCTGTGTGATATGGCACGCAGACAGATCGAGGGCTAGTTTTGTGGGGAGCTGCCTTGCAGAACTACTCCTGTTCTAATTAGAGCAACGTGAACCAGCTCTTTTGGTCAAACCCTAGTAGGTTAGCTGAAGAGATGAGTCTCTAAGCTACAGCCTACGTTTCTCTTACCCCAGAGATAAGAAACACTTTACAGAAGTCCAGCACAGGCAAGATCTGCAAAAAGCTGGCCGCTTCTAGAGTATCCTGCAGGTTGTCCATGTTGAGGGAAAGTTTCGCCGTATAAATAAAATCAATGATCTTCTTTAAACCTATTTTGTTCACGCCGTGGAGCTTAATACACATTAAGTCTTGTTCTTTCATCCCACCTGGGAACAAAATTTAGAGACAATGTGGTTACAACCAGTCACAGCCTCCTTAGAAAGCTCCCTCCAAACCAGAGAGAATGGCACGTCATCCCTAACGTTAACTGAACCCCCGAAAGAAAACCCAAGAGGGGGTGTCTGCGGGCCTCTGCGTGGCGGGTGACCCACCACCCTACCTGTGAACATAGCCTTGAAGTAATCACTGGCAGACGCCATCATCGCCCTGTGCACGGGGAACACATCGTCTCCATCGCCTGGCACTAACGTCACATCACAAAGCAAGCCTTCCAGGCGGAGCTGGTCAAAACCCTGCAAGAGAGAACTGGCGATGTCAGCTTTGGTCTCCCCCGGAAGGAGGAGGCGCTGCCCCACGGGAAGCCCCACACAATCGGAGCTCCTGTTCCTGGGACCGCAGCAGCACTCCAGGCTCAGCGTAGCTACTCCAATGCTGGGGAACCTGGGGGGGGGGGAGAGGTGGAGCTGCTCTGCTCCAGCAAGCCAGAGGAGGAGGAAGAGGATTAGGTTACTCCACTGAACAAAAGACTTCTGATGTTCCCAGAATACAGGCACGGTCCTGGGGCAGCAGCTCTGGCTGGCCATCCACTTCGGAAAGCTTTCGGGCTGGTTTTTACACCGGCTGCAGCTCTTCCCCAGGCCTGCCCATCCGGCATTTTCCCACTCTTTAAAAACGTTCTGGGAAGAGAGCCGTGTTAGCCTACTTTGCCACCTCCTTGGTGGCAGCAAACAATGCCAGGCACAGGGTTTAGCCTCATTTCACAGCCACTGCAAACACAAAGCATCAGTAAGAGGGGCAGCGAAGGTGCTTTCTAGAGCCAAAGTCAGAGAAGGGGCCTGGATTTCTGCACAGCATGCTGGTAGATGATGAAACGGAATTTTCACGCTCCGGGCCAAGGGAAGCAAAAAAGATAAGAAGAGCATCCACAGGGGAAGGCAGTTTCACCTAACAAATTCCCTTAAAGGCTTTCAGGCATAATTCGCAGGCCAACGTCCTCCGCCCCTCCCACGTTTGGGCAATGTGAAGCTTGGATTTCCCCCCCCCCTCAATCACAGGGAAAAGCAGCCCCGCTCTTTGTCTTTGGCAGTGTGGCCGCAATGTCTGATTGGCAAGGGAGAGAAAGTCCTCAGAAGCCAAGAAGGGGACCCCGTTCTGTGCTTCCTTTCCAGTAGCTTGGTGACTTGGGCTGCAATGACACCGCCAAACACACCAGTCTTTGGAGGAAACTCTCCCCCGTGAAACGAAGAAAGGGTGCCTAAAGAAGACCTGGCGGGTGGCTCTGTCCAGGGCCTTCACTCACCTGAAGGACCACAGAACTGTGAGTGTTGCTGGTAAAGAATCTGGTGGTTCCTGCCTTCGATGCCTGCAGGTGAGCAGACAAGCCCATATCGCTGCTCCCCAGAGTCACTTTCATTTGAGGGTCTTCCTCTTCAACCAAAGATCTAGGAAAAAGAAAGGAAGAGAAGAGACGACTTTCAGAGCCTGGTTCTGCTACCTGAGTCGCCACCACCAATGCGGGAGCATGCAGGAATCTGTAAGGCAATCTCAAAGGGAACCTAACCCAATTTTTATTGCTATTATAAATGTTATTAAATGTTAAAAAGTGATGGGGCAATTTCTCGTTCTGAATCCAGGCTTTGTTGCAACAACCTTCTTCCATTTTTTCTCATAACTGAGATGATTTGCAATTTTTGATCCCGTTTTCAAGATTTGGGGGTTCAAAAGCCTTCCACCTTTTAGAAATTTAAAAACCTTCATTGCGGCTGCAGAGGAAACTGGGGGGGGGGAGAGTTTACAAGCAGTTCTGTCTGTCCAGATCTCAAGTGCTCTATGCATGACGTGCTGATGCCTTTACAGCACCTGTGCCCATAAAAAGCTCAGGGATATTGCATTACACACAGTAGTTTGTGAGCCTTCCGTGCAGGTGCTGACATTAAGGTATCCGCTCCTCTTCGTAATGTTTAAATATAACTTCCAGCCTCTTTCTAAAAGATCTAATCTCTGAGCATGCAGGGAAAACATTGGCCTCAAAAGGAGTTTCAGAAATTACTTCAGCAGGATAACTGGTCCCCCAAATATGAGCAAACCAATTGTTTTGTGCCTACATTTTTAAAAAATATCCCAATTAAAAACAGAGTTGGCTTAAAATAATTCTATCAGGTTATGCCTGCAGCTGCTATTTATTTGCACTGAGTAGGAAAACTAGGGTTATTTAAAGGAATTTCTGAAACTTGAACATTTGGGGGTGGTAGTGGTGTGGTAGCTGAAAGCACAAATTGTTTGGAGATCAGCCATAAAAATTGCTAAAAAAATACCGTGGACTACACAGAAACGGTGCTTTGATACACGGGTGTGAAATACATGGAACATGCAGGGAGGAAATGCAAACACATTTAGCAAGTTTCTATTTCAATGTGACCAGGTGGTTCCTCACCACAAGGATTTGTAAAGATTAAAGCTTCTTTCTGAATATGCTGCTGTGCACTACAATTAGTAACCCATAAATAACCTGTAATATCTCATGTCACATCCTGATTAATTGCACAGCCTTAAACCCCAAATCTGCTTCTTTTAGTGCATTCAGACCACTGGAGGTTGGAAAAAAATTAAACAAATCACAGATGGCAGATGTTGGTACAACAACTGAAGCTGAGGTTGTCCAAGAAGGTCTCCCATACAGGATGGATGCCTGTTATTTTACTGCAGTGCTCAGACTTGCCTTTGATACCAGCAGCAACAACAAAGAATTTCCGATAGATTAAATCACATTTTGGTTAGAAATTGTACAAAACATTGTGGGATGTGTAGCGTAAAATCAGATTGCGTTCTTGTGCTTCAGGTTGGACAGAATCACCCCCGTTTTCATCTACAGGTTGAACCTGAGCTCCCCCCCCCCGAAGATTCAGTCCCATCGTCTTCACACAATTACGGCTAAAGATAAAATACGGAGAGAGGACCAGAACATGATGTCTCTGAGTGCACTGCAAGAAAATGAGCTCCACACAAAATAAGTGTTTCCTCCAGAATCACTGCAAGATGTTACTACTGAAGACCAGTTTCATTAGGTCATAAAGATATATATTATTGGGCCATGGAATAGAATATTGGACTAGATCAGATCTGATAAACCAGGGATGTCCAATCTTGGCAACTTTTGCAGGAGTCGAAGTCCACAAGTCTTAATGTTGCCAAGGTTGGACACACCTGCGATAAACAGTTTCAGACCACAAGGAGGGCTTGAAAATTTGAAGGCTTCTTTATCCAGTACACAAAAAGTTTGCATTTCTGGGGGGGGAAAAATCTAGCCTAGTCAACTTATCTAGTTTTTTCCCACCTTCTTCCATGTTGCTTTCCAATACCAGCAACTCACCCTTGGTGAGCTGTGGAACCCAAAGACCCAAACTTCACAACAGGACGTCTCCTCCAGTACCTGAGCCATCTCATTACATCAACTATGCATCCAAAAAACCCCAAAAGTTTTAATGAAAGGATATTCAGTTTAGACATATTTACCAAGGGTGTTTTATATACACTCATTAAAGCTAACACACCAACCCTTATAAATAATTAGTTAATAAGGAGAGTAAATATATTGATTAGGCTTTTCTGGTGATAATGCTGAATCGCTATTGCTTCCAAGAATTCCTCATAAAGTTAATTAACCTTCTAATTATTCCTCTAGCTATGACCAATAGAAGGCATTATATTAAAAAAGAGAATAGTTGGACTTTTAGGCCACGTTAAATTCTGTAAGAATCAGGACTACCCTTTACAAAGAATCAGAGGGGGGGGGGGGAGAACAAACAAACCAGCAAAGAAAGGAGGATCCAGATAACTGCTTGGGCAGGGAGAGGGTGGAGAATGCAGGCGTTTTCTTTTCCTTTTAAAGATAAATCAGTTTCTCACTCACAAATATTTTGGGAACTCTCAGAAAGAAATTCATCACAAATATTCAACTCCAAAGCTGCATAAAAGCTTGAGTATACATTTCTGACTCCTTGAAACTTTTTTTAGCAACTGCATGTCTCTTTATCTCGCTGATCCAATTTTTTATATATAAATAAAACCAGCGTTCAGTTTAGTGAACCTATATTTCACTGCTCTGTTTTTCCCCCTTTGTTTGAAATATGAAAACGCTTGGGTTATTTTTGTACATCCCAGTTTCAGGTGGATAATAAAAGATACCCGAGTCCTTTTTAGAAGCACTCTGTGTCAGCCAGCTCAAGCTACACGCTTAATCCGAAGCTAGCTTTTCACTATCAATGCAATTAAGAAGGTGGCTTCATTTATTCCAATTGCAAAACCCCAGATAGGCATTTTAGTCATATCTTGAATTGACATCTATGTTTCTGTTGTTTTGCCTGGCTGAAAAAAATGTTAACAGGCTACCTTGTAGCATCACCAGGTAATCCAAGTCCCACACATGATCCCCCCCCCCCGATAATTCATAAAGCTTTCAAGCGCCCGTAAAAGATTCAGGCCCCCACCCCATCTAGACCCCCCCACTACTGTATGGGGGCAACCTAAGCTCCTCCTCCTGCCTGAGCCTGCTGGATGGACCGGTTGGCTGCTATTTAGACCACCCATTTCATACTCAAAGTGCCACAAGCCTCTGTCGGCTTTATTTTCCAAAGCTACATAGCAGATGTTTAAATAATGACAAAACTATCTTCTTCTGATGGGTCAGGTACCCTCCAGGCTCTTCAGAAAGATGAGGCGGGTGAGGAGACCCTTGGCACTAAGTACGAAAGAGGTCTGAGTTGCCCTTTGGGATGGAACAGATCCGGGCATGGTTCAGAAAGCCGGCCTCCAGCTGCTTATGCACCCATCAAAGGCGCTCTGGGTTATCAGGGAGCAGTTGCCACCCTCTCCAAAATAGTTGTCTGCTATGTGTTCAATTTCATTAATATTCAGAGTAGCTTTGACTACCATCTCTTTCTAAGAGCAGCCTCCAGATCTAGTAGCAATCTCCAAAACTGAGATGCCGATGGAAACTAGGAAGAATTAGAATCAAGAGATGCATGAAAATGCCTTAACCTAGGAGGAGAAGAACTACCACACCTGAAGGAAAAAGCCGTCTAGGATGGCATAAGGGGTCACTTCCTTGGGAACTCCACCGGGCTTCCCCCTATGTTCCCATCAACTGCCTCAGCCAAAGAAAGGAATTAAGAGCAATCTTCCTTTTAATAATTTATTGTTTCTAGCCTATTTTTCAATCTGTAGATGCAACAAGCCACTTACAAATGAAAACATTATCCTTCCAAACAGGGAACAAAAAACATAAAACCGTTTTAAGATAACAGATAGAAAAGCAACCTCTGCTTAACCTCTTTGGCACAGCTAAGGAAAGAGATGGTCTTTAGATACCCTGACATCCTAGAAAGAACCAAAGCTTCCTCTGATAGCCTCAAAACTTTGCTGCTCCTGAGCCTCTGAATTTAGATTGTAGGGCAGAGTCTACTTCGTTTTTCAACAAAAACAAACAAAAGTGAATGTGCAACTACACTCATCAAACTGCAGGGTGAGGATACAACTCAGTGTAGTCCCATGGCTTGGAACCCAATTCCAAAGGTTTGCAAAATCCAAGAGGTTCAGCTGATATTTAGTGTCCAAAGGTAAACTAGTTGTAAAGGGGGGAAAAAGAAAAAAAGAAAGAAAGCTTGTCAAGAATAAAGAAATATCTGCTAAACTGGAGTGAGAAAGAAAGTGGCACCTTTTTAGTTGAGATTCTGCTATGGTCCTAAGCATGCTGACAAGCAGCCTTATTCTTTAGGGACTCTGCTGAGCAATAAAAATCTAAAAAAAAATAAATTAAAAGCACGTTATGCAAGACTCAGTTCCAAGATTTATACTGACCAATTTTTTTTTGCTTACCTTAGCTTGAAGAGAAGAAATGATTACTTTGATAATGTGATTGGAACTATCTTTGACACGCTGCAACAAGACTGCACTTGGAGGAGGAGAAGCAATGTTGACCCCCAAGAAATAGGCTGGACTGTGGAAAAGACCCCCCCCCCTGCCTTGGTGGAACCCCAAAATAGTAGGGCTGCTCCTGCTGCTTTACTCCTACTGGGAGCACACCCAATCGACTCCTTGACTTGGTGCAAGACAAGAGAATCAAGCCTTGTGGATAGCATGGTTCTGGCCAAAATAGGAGTTATCTAAAAAAGTCTTGACCTTGTAGCAGATGTCCAGAAAGGGAACAGTCATCTCTGGAGATAGAGAGTAGACAGGATCCAGGCACTCTTCAGAAGAGGGAAGAGATTTGCCTCCATGTGCACCTCACAGCTCTAGAATAAAATCTTAGAAGCAAATTCCCTTCACATACTGACTAGGCAGTCTGGTCTCCCCCTCTGGCTCAAACTGCAGGGGACTCTTATGCTCGCTGTGGCCTAAATTACAGGTGAATTGCACCAGGTGACAATATTGTTGGGTGGA